GGGGGGGGGAAGGTGAAAAGAGAAAATAAAAAGAAGAAAAACGGGAAAAAAGGAGAGAAAAAAAAAAGGCAGAGGAAGAAGAGCCGCGCGGGGCGGTGCCGGTGCTGTGCCTGCGCCCTCGCGGCGCTGCTGCCCCCTGCTGCCCGCGCACGGACACACGGCCACGGGGACACACGGCCACATCCGCACACTCGGCGTCCCCGACCCCAAACAGCCCATCGGAGCTCCCCCCGCCTGGCTCACCCGTGGCTCAGGGAGCAGCGGTGCGGTCACCGAAGCCACGGGGACGCGAGGACCCGAGGCGCACGGGGACGCCCGCATGGCTGGGAATTGGGATGGGGGGCACAGGGACCCCCCGGAGCAGCTCCCAGTTTGCGCTGTGGGCTCTGGGACGATGCTCGGAGCGTCACCGCAGCGAGGTGAGCTGAGCACGAGCAGCATTCCTGCCCCAAAGAAAGAGCGTGCGGGGAGCAGAGGGCTGCGTGACGCTCTCGGCTGCGGGGCAGCAGTGGGGATGCTTCGTGCTCGCCTCGTCCCGGCAATGTTTGCTCAATGCGAGCATCCAACGTGCTGCCAACACGGCTGCTCAGCGTCCAACCGCTGCCAGAAGCCTCCCGGCAGATGGGCTCTGATTCGGGATATTTGGAGACCGAGAAAACAATCCCAAAGTGGGAGGACGAGAAATCGCCGATGGGGAGAAAAGGGAGGCGGATCCCCCGAGCTCCCTTTGGGACGGGCAGAAGGGTCGATGTGAGTCTTGGAACCAACCCCGACATTCCTCCCGGATGCTCTGAGTTTTTCCAGTTCATTTGGCTTTGGGTTTTTGTGGCGTGCCGCGATTTTCTTCCGCTTTGGGTTGTTTTCATCCTTTTTTTTTTTTTCCCCCTATTTCTCCACCAGGAATGCGGGGCCACATCAGAAGCGTGACAAAGAGCAGAGCTTCGTCATCGGTGGTGATGGGGCTTTCTCAAAACCGTTCCCTCCCCAAACAGCTGCTGTCACAATGATTGCACCCAAACAGCTAAAATAGAGCATCTGGCTGCGTGCTGCCCTTGGGGAGGGAGATGGGATGAGTCTGAGGTTGTGATAATGGGATGGGATGGGATGGGATGAGATGGGATGGGATGGGATGGCATGGCATGGGAGGCAACATGATCCCAAAAATCACCTCTCCAACCCAGATAGAGGCGGTCCCCATCGCTGTCCCACTTCTGGTGCTGTGTCCCCATGTCCTTTAGGGTGGTGCCTACTCTGGAAAGCGCTGTGTTACATCGAGGTTTCTCTTCCTCCTTTCTTCCCAAGTGAGAAATTTGTGCTGAGTTTGGCTCTGTCCATCCGGTGGGGAACTTCTCAGCGGTGGCAGGGTGACCCTTGGGCCACCCGAGGGCTGTGCTGCTCCTGGTGACGTGCCTGTCATCAGAAGGGACAGCAGTGCTGGGCTGATGCCACCATCCCGCAGCCAAGCCAAACACTGACACGTGTCTATCTACAAGAGCTGAGCATTCCAAGGCTGGGGGACCAGGAGGAAGGGCTGCCACCATAAATCAGTGTTCCACGCTGTGTTCCTTCACAAGCCATGCTCTGCACTGGATCCTCTGCTCTCTGGATCCTCTGCTCTTCATCCCAGAGGGGCTGATAGCTGAAGGCAGGTCCCAGTCCGATGAGGAATGCACTCAATGTCAGCACGCAGTGCTCACTCCAGCTCACCGCCTCTCCCAGCCCTGCTGTCAGAGCGATGCTTTCCTGTGCTGCACCACAACGGGGGCTGAGAGCAAACGATGCAGATTGGTGCTCATTCACCATCACGTGCACACTGGAAGATGTGTGCTGCTGTGGCCAGGAAGTGCTGCTCTGCTCGGAAGAGGTGCTGTGGGGTTTCTGCCCTATGGGGGTGGCTGCGTGCTGCTGGAGGGGCTGGATGCCACCGTGGGGTCTGAGCAGCAGTAGCACCCCATGGCAGCAGGTGGGGTGGGAAAGGTGTGGGTAGGGGAGATGGGGTGAGGGCAGGAGCTGTGCTTACCCCAGTGGAGTGACTGCGCTCAGCCCTACACCCATAACTTCCCATATTACCCATAACCAGCCCTAGGGCTCGGCTGTAACCCACTACCCATCACGCCCAAGGGACTCAGCTCACGTCCTCCACCCCATTGCTACCCCAGGAGCTCAGCCCCACATCCCTTACTTGTGACCTCCCAGGAACTCTGCTTTCCTCTGCTCTGTAACCCCTCAGGACTCAGCTCTGACACGGTTACCTACAAACCCCTTCCTAGGACTCCCCTCCTGTCCTCCACCCCATCAATCACCCCAGGACTAAGTCGTCCTCACCTGCAATCCCCCAGGAGCACAACCCCTGTCCTCTACCCCATAAACCTCCCAGCAGCTCAGCCCCAATTCTCTACCCATAACTCCAGCGGGACTCGGCTCTGCCCCCTTACCGACAACCCGCCTAGGATGCAGCCCACGGTCCTTTACCCCACAGCCCCCCCCGGGGGACTGACCCCTTGCCCTTCACCCCGTTCCCAGAAGAGCTCAGCCCTCCGTCCTCCCCAGCCGCAGGGCTCGGCGATCCTCACGCCGCTCCCCCAGCTCGGGATCCTACACCGCAACCCCGGTCCCACCCCGCCTCCCCCGGCCGGGTGCAGGCAGCGCCCGCCCCGCTCCCCGTCCCCTCCCGCCGCTCCTCCCGGGGCGTTCCGCGCGGCGGTGCCGCACAGCGGGCGGATGGCGGCCGATGGGTACCGCTGCCGGGAGAGCCGCTTCATCGCCAGCGGGCAGTCGGTGGTGCCCAGCTCGGCTCTGTTCGCCGCCGGCCTGCTGGGCAACGTGCTGGCTTTGCTCCTCTTGGGGCAGCACAGACGGCGCTCCCGCTCCGCCGCCGGCCGCGCTCCGCGGGTCTCCGCCTTCTACGTGCTGGTGAGCGGGCTGGCGGTGACCGACCTGCTGGGCAAGTGCCTGATCAGCCCCATCGTGCTGGCCGCCTACGCCTACAACCGCAGCCTGAGCGAGCTGGGAGCGGGCGGCCGCGGGGAAAGCGAGCCGGGAGCGCTGTGCCAACTCTTCGCCTTCCTGATGGCGTTCTTCGGGCTGGCCCCCACCCTGCTGCTGCTGGCCATGGCCACCGAGTGCTGGCTGTCTCTGGGCCACCCGTACTTCTACCGGCGGCACGTCACCCGGCGCCGGGGAGCGATGCTGTGCGCGCTGGGCGCGACTCTGTGCGCCCTGTTCTGCGCGCTGCCGCTGCTGGGCTTCGGCGCTCCCATGCAGTACTGCCCCGGGACGTGGTGCTTCATCCGCATGGCGGGCGGCGGGCCGAGCCAGCTCGGCTTCCCCGTGCTGTACGCCAGCGTGCTGGGCGTGCTGGTGTTGGCCATCGCGGCTTGCAACGTGTGCAGCATGCGGCAGCTATACGGCATGGCCCGCAGGCAGCCCCGGCGCGGAGCGCAGCCCCCCGGCCCGGCAGCGCCGCGCATGGAGGAGCTCGACCACCTGGTGCTGCTGGGGCTCATGACCGCTCTCTTCACCGTCTGCTCGCTGCCGCTCATCGTGAGTACGCTGCGCGTCCCTCCCCCCCTCACCTCCCCGGACCCCCCCGCTTCATCGCTTCCGTTGCCCCGGCGCTGCTGTGCCCCCCCGACGTGAAACCCCGTTCGTTCCGCTTGGGTTCAGCCGCCTCCCCCACCCCTCCCAGGTTGTCCCCTTGGCGCAGCCCCGTCCCCACTTGCTGCAGGGTCGCGTTGCGTCCTCGCCCTTTGGCGCAGCTCGGTGCCTGGGGTGGGGGGGGGGGGGTGGGGCCGCGCCTTTCCCCCCCGCCCCCCAAATCCACCCTCAAGGGATCGGGGGGGGGTTCCTTGCTTTACTGCTTCCACTGTCACCCTGTCCCAGAGGGTTGGGTTGTTGCTTTATTCCCTTGGAATAACCCCCCCCCCATACCATCTCTCTGTCTCGTTGGGGCCAGGGAAGGGGGGGGGGGCGGGTCGGTGGGTTTAATCCCTTTTATGGGCCCCCCCCCCATCGTCCCCAGCCCAGCGTCGTCAGAGGGAGTCAGGTCCTTGCTTTAACCTCCTTGGAACAACCCCCCCTCCCCATTCCACCATCCCATCCTAGAGGGTCACGTTACTGTGTAGCCCCCCCCTCTCTGAAAACCCCCAGCATCACTTCGTGTCCGATGCACTCCTTCAGTGCTTTCACTTCTATGGAATAAAACCCCATTACCTCACCCCCCCACACCCCATCCCAGAGGTGCCAAGTTGGGATCAAGTCATAACTTTCACCACTTTGGAATAAACCCCCCCCCTCCCCCCATCACCACCACCTCGCTTTGGAGGAGGAGGTCAGGTTATCCCGTGGCTACCAGACCCTCCCTGGGCAGTCCAGTCACTGCTTTAGCCCCTTTTTAACAACCCCCCCATCATCCTCATCCTGTCCCAGACCTGCTGGGGAGGTCACCTCATTGCTTTCACCCCTTGAGATACCTCCCCCTGCTTTGTGCATCCCGGGGGGTCACTGTGTCGCTCCCATCGATGCTCCCCCCCCTGCTGCCCCCCATTCCCCCCCATCCCAGAGGCATTGGGTCCCTTCCAACCACACCTGGGGAAACCAGTCCCCGAATATTTCCCTTTGTTCTTTCATGGGGTTACGGGTGTCCCACAGGTGGGGTGGCCCAGCGTGTCCCCAAGATGTCCCCAGGGTGTCCTTGGGATGTCCCCAAGTTATTCCTGAGCTGCCCCCAAGGCGTCCACTGGGTGTCCCTGAGTTGTGTCCGAGTTGTCCCCAAGCTGTCCTCTGGATATCCCAAAGCTGTCCTCAGATCGTCCACAGGGTGTCTCCAGAGCGTCCCCAAGCCATCCCCAGAGTGCCCCCAAGTTGTCACCAAACTCTTCTGGGGGTGCCCTCAACTGTCCCCGGAGCGTTCTCAAGTTGTCCCTGAACTGTCCTCAAACTGTCCCCAAATTGTCCCCAGGCTGTCCCCAAATCCCAGGACGGTTCCCACAGCGCCGCACCTCTCATAGCTGCTTTATTTTTCCCAGGTCCGTGCCTACATGGGGGCGTTCGCCGCCGACTTCAACGAGGACGCCGACCTCAGCGCTCTGCGCTTCCTCTCCGTCAACTCCATCGTGGACCCGTGGGTCTTCATCATCTTCCGCACCTCCGTCTTCCGCCTCTTCGTGCGCCGCCTGTGCCGCCGCCTGGGCTCCCGCCGGGCCACGCTGAAGAGCACGGGGCCGGGGGGGGACGGGCAGTTCTGTCCCCAGGGATGGCGTGGGCCAGGCACCCCGCAGCTCGTCTTCCCCTGAGCGCAGTGCTGGAGGAGCTGGGGGAGCCAGGAGCGAGCCGTCGGCCTCGGGGACTCAGGGGTGACGGCGCCCGGATGGCGACGGAGAGCGGGCGGCGCTGTGCCGCATCCCCGGGATAGGAACCCTGGGGGGTGCCTGGAGAACTGTGAATGCTGCCGTGCAGCGGCGCTTTGCGAGGTGCGGGCAGCACCCGGCGCTGGGGAAGCGTAGGGGTCGTTGGCGTGCGGCTTTGGGGCGGTGCTGTGCCGAGGGGCAGTGCAGTGGGGACGTGTTGGGAGGAGGGATGTGTGCCACCCCGTGAGGAATAAAGTGGTTTGGAGCCTGGTGCCATCACCTCGTGCCTGTGGGTTATCCCTGGGGGCTGCCCTAGGGTGTCTCCAAGCTGTATCCAGGGTGTCCAGCAGTTGTTCCCGGGCTGTACCCAGAGTGTTCCTAAGGTGGTGTCCCCACGATGCCCCTGAGATGTCTCATAGCTGTCCCTGAGTCATACACAAGTTGTCCCCAGGATGTCCCCAAGCTGTACCCAGGGTATCCCCAAGGTGTCCCCAAAACATCCCCGGGCTGCCCCTGAGCTGTTCCCAAACTGTCCCCAGGCTGTCCCCACGGTGCCGCAGGGCTCAGGATGGCTGCACCATCCCTGCCCCACCTGAGCTCAGGGCTCAAGGTCCCCCCAGCACTGACGCTGTGTTTGTGCCGCTCAGATGGTGCCAACAGCAACGATTTGAATCCACTATTTATGATCAGCCCGTTAATAAGAGCAACTATGGAGAGAAAAAGCAGAGCCTTGGATGCATCACCCGGCGCTGCAGCGTGCAAGCAAACCATCATGGCAGTGAGAGCCCCATTTCCCCTCTGGGTGCTGCCTCCAGTGACAAGTTTAGGACAAAAGATGGCGGCAGCCACCATCCCCATCCACACGGCGTCCTTGGAGCAGACGGAGCCGCACTTCTTCCTGTGTTTATCCAGCCCTGTAAGGTGCAGCCGTGCCCCGCCAGCTCTGCACAGTGTTTACTTTGGTTGTCAAACCGATATCGCGTTTGGAAGAAGAAACCCGTGTGAACGCGGCGCTGCTGGAGGTGACCTGTGGCAGTGTCACATGAACCGCGTCCCCGCTGTCCCCCTGCATCCCCACCCACCCCTCTGCCCCACAGCTGAGCCCGTTCCGTCTCTCCCAGCTCACGCCATCCAGGCACGGCTCTGCCAAAGCTCATTTCCCAGCACTGCTCTCTGTCCTTGTCCCGTTCCACTGCCTGGGCGCATTTTGCAGCCGCTCCCCACGTGCCTGGGCGGGCTGCAGCGCGCAATGCGCGGCCCCACAGTTTCTGTGGGATTCCTGCAGTGCTCCGACAAGCCTGGGGCTTTGCTCCAAGTGGGACAGCCCTGCGAGGCTGCTCCCAGGGAAAGCCATGCCAGCAGCCCCCGGGAAGACATGTGCTCCTTGTTATCCCCGACATAAACATGGAAGCAGGAGGAGGAAAACAAACGCTTCCCAAGAAATGGACGGGCTGTAGCACCAAAGCGGTGCGTTCCTGCTGTGGAGCTCAGGAAAAACAAACCGCCAAACCCAGCGATTTTCCTGTGATTGCAAAAATATCCCATCAGAGGCAACCGCTGGTCGAGAAGCCCGAAGCCCACGTGGGTATTTAAGGCTCCATTAGCACAAGGAAAACGGGCTCCAGGAGTGCCCAGGCTGCGATGAGGAGCAGCAGTGGGAGGCTGGGAGCAGCCCCTGTGGGAATGCTGCTGCTCGTAATGCTTTGCCCTGTGGGTTGGCGCCGCTCGCCCAGCATTTACCATCTGGTTTTTGAGGTGCTGTGCAGAGCTGAGTTGGACTCAATGATCCGTTGGGTTCTGCCTGGGAACCGAACCAAAGCGGCACATCGGAAGTGAAGGTGCTGTCACAAACCGCAGCTCCCCCAGCCCTGGAGTTTGCCTTCAGCATATTTCCTTGACGAAGTTCCTGTTACCAAAGGGAACTCGAAAAGCGCAGCAATGAAGATGCGCGTGGCAGAAAGCGGCGTGCCCACGGGAAGCTGGTTGGCACCACTGAGCATTGCTGGGTTTCAGGGACCAAAGGGCACCGAGGTGACCACTGGGGTATGGATAAGAGGCGTGCCTGAGCCCTGCTTGGGCTGGATCCATGGTTGGATCAGAGCATGGTTGGGTTGGAAGGGACCTCACAGCCCCCCCAGCCCCCCCTCTGCCGTGGGCTGGGTGCTCACCACCAGATCAGGCTGACCAGGACTCCATCCAGCCCAAACCATCATAGAATAGATCGAGTTGGAAGGGACCTTAAAGGTTGTCTGTTTCCATCCTGAGGTGGGGAGAGGTTGGGCTGTTCCCCACAGGATCCCTCCAGCAGTGCATCTCACTGTGCATGTGGGCTCCTGCAGAGACACTAGAAGTGAAGCTTGCCATCAGCCTGGGGCTCCTACGTAAGCACTGGGACTCGTTATGAGCCCAGGGTTCCCAAATCAGCCCTGGGGTGCTCTGTGTGTTGGGATTCCCAGCTCAGCGTTGTGGCTCACCATGTTCCGAGGCTCCCAACTCAGCGCTGGGATGTGCTGTGCTTTGTGGCTCCCAAATCAACATCTGGGTACAGCAGGGCTCCCGAATCTCCACTGGGGCTCACCATGAGCCCAGGGCTCCCAGATCAGCACTGGACCTCACAGTGCCTTGGGGATCCTTCAATGACACCACAAGTGGGGCTTACCATGAGCCTGAGGCTCCCAAATTGGCACCAGGATGTAGCGTGCACCAGGGCTCCCAACATCTGCATCAGTGCGAGCTGTGCCTTGAGGCTCCAAAATCAACGCTGAGTGGTGTCTTGGCTCCCAAATCAGCATCACGTCATGGCTCCCAAATCAGCACTGGGGCTCCCACACCGGCACCAGCACTGGGAATGGCAGCGAGCCTGGGCTCCTAAATGAGCACAGGGGCTCCCTTTGAGCCCAAGGTTCCCAGATCCGCATTAGGGCTCGCCGTGCCCCGGATATCACCGGGACTCTCCGGCAGCAGGAGGACCCACGCTCAGCACCGGGACGCTCGGCTCGTCGGGGCTCCCAGCCCGGCAGCGGGATGCGCCGTGCGTCGTGGCTCCCCGACCGGCGCCGGAGTTCTCCGCGCCCCCACGCTCCCATCACCGGAGCCCCTGACCGCCCCTCCCGCCCCTTCCCCGCCACCCCCGGTTGCGCGGACCCCCTGGAACCGCAGCCCGGCCCCGGGGCGGAGCGGGGCGGGGCGTCGCGGGCGGCGGGCGGGCGGCGTCGGCATTCGGGCGGCGGCAGAGGGATGAACGGGACGGGCCGGGAGCCGTGCGGGCACGGAGAGGCGCTGGCGGCCGGCGCTCGGCCGCTGGTCAGCGCGCTGATGTTCTCCGCGGGGCTGCTGGGCAACCTGCTGGCCCTGGGGCTGCTGCTGCGCTGCCGCCGCCCGCCCCGCGCCCGCGCTCCGTCCCTGTTCCACGTCCTGGTGCTGGCCCTGGTGGTCACCGACCTGCTGGGCACCTGCTCCGTCAGCCCCTTGGTGCTGGCCTCCTACCACCGCAACCTGACGCTGAACGCCCTGGGGCGGGGAGGGCACATCTGCCTCTACTTCGGCTTCGCCATGAGTTTCTTCGGCCTCGCCACCATGCTCGTCCTCTTCGCCATGGCGCTGGAGCGCTGCCTGGCCCTGGGGCGGCCCTACTTCTACGAGCGCTTCCTCAGCCCCCGCGCCGGCCTGGTGGCCCTCCCGGCCATCTACACCTTCTCAGCAGCCTTCTGCTCCTTGCCTCTGCTGGGCTTCGGGCGCTACGTGCAGTACTGCCCCGGCACCTGGTGCTTCATCCAGATGCGCGTGGACGACGGCCGGCACAAGGCAGCCGGTTTGCACCTCACCTTCTCGTTGCTTTACGCCACTTTACTCCTCTTCCTCATCCTGTCGGTGCTGCTGTGTAACCTCAGTGTCATCGCCAACCTGGCCCGCATGCATCGCCGCGGGCAGAGGACGCGCCGGCTTGCTGCGCTCGAGCAGCCGCGAGCGGTGGGGGGCTGCAGCCGCCGCATCTTCTCCATGGCCGAGGAGATCGACCACCTCCTGCTCCTCTCCATCATGACCATCACCTTCGTCATCTGCTCCTTGCCCTTCACGGTGAGTGCCGCCCCCTCTCCCCGTTTCCCAGAATCGCAGACTCATAGACTTATAGAATTGTGGAATTGTAGAACGGTTGGGTTGGAAGGGACTTTAAAGATCATCCATTTCCGAGCCCTGCCGTGGGCTGGGTGCCCCCCAGCTCAGGCTGCCCATCCACGGCCTCGGGCATCTCCAAGCATGGGGCACCCACAGCACTCCATGCTGCTGCCCAAAATTTAAGGGCTGAGATCAATGTGATTTTTCTCCCAAAACTTTGGAGACCCCAAACTTTTGGCAGTCGAAATGAGGGATTCCCAGCAGCAGCAGTGGGATGAGCGGATGGCAGCAGTGCCCTCCCACCCTGCAGAGGCACACACACAATTTGCTCTCTTGGACCAAATGGTTCCCAAGCCCAAGGGCTGGGCGCTCATTGTGGCAGATCAAGGAGCTGGACGTGGGAAGATGGGGTAGGGATTGGGTTGGGATTTGGGTTGGGGATGGGAGTGGGGTTGGGGTTGGAGATGAGGTTGGGGATGGGGATGAGAATGGGGTTGGGCGTTAAGGATGCAGATGAGGAAAAGATCTCTGTGCTGGTCTGGATGAGGATGTCACGTATCAGTGCTGCATAAGCAGACCCTGCACCACTCTCCCCCCTCTTGGGGCTGCTTTCAGCTCCCCCATGCTATGTTTCCCCAATAGCACCTCATTCTCCTCGTCACCTCCAGCACCCACCTGTGAGCCCACGGCTGCAGGAGGAGATTTTGCCGTTGTTTTTTTCCCATTAGAAGCAAGACCCGCTAGGGTTAGGCGTGCTGCCAGCACTAATTTTGTGCTCGTGGGCTCAGGCGGACGCTACCTTCCTTTTGCACTCACAGAAGGAAGAGTCCCGGGGGAAGATAATGTAACCGCAGCCTGCAGCCCAGCCAGGCTGTCTGGATTTTAAGAGAGAGAAAAGACAAAACAGTGACTGCCAGCAGCTCGTGAGCATCCCGGGATCCTCAACGTCCTGAGATCTCCCATCAATGGG